AAGGCAAGCTGCTCCATGCACACGCGCCCCAGGCAGAGCGTTGGCACTGGTCACCAGCAGGTACACGCAGCTGCCCTCACTGTGCATCCCCTACAACCTGTGGGCCTCCCTCTTCTGGCCTGGGCCATGCTAACTGCAGACTCCTCTCTCCAGCCGTGGCCCTGACTATCCATTGTCTGACCAGGACCCATTTTCACAGGTGCCCCAGTAGATTTGCGTCCAGTAACAGCAACAAGAGTGGCCTCGCTCAGGAGCCACGTGCCTGCCATATGGGAAGTGCCATTCTCCAATGGCAGCTGGAATAAAATCGGCGTTTCAGGGAAAGCTCTGCTTTCCACCACTGCCAAGCACAGTGTTTTACAGAGTGATTTCCAGCTTTTTTCCCAAGAGTACAGACATCTGTCCCACGAGGTGGGCCGGGGCAGCACTCTGTGCCCAGCCCGCACACGCTGCTCCAGAGGCACCGGTGCCCTCAGCCACGCCTGCAGCGCTGCAAGTGGCACTGAAGCACCTGGCCTGTTCTCCTCATCATGGATGAGTTTTAAAACTTGTGACTTCTCTTACAAGCAGACTTGTACAGGAGAAGGCTCTACCCTGAAGTATGTAATTTGACAAAGCTTAGAGAACCATGCAAAGCACATTACTCACACTTTTGCCAGCAATTTAGAATGATTCCAGATTATCTTACCATTTGCCCAGAACACGCAATAGCCATTAATTTATCTATTACAAGTTCTACATAAATACTTGAGGTATTTTGTAAAATTACAGAAGAAATGCTTAATCTTAGCCATTATCTGGTATCAGAGCCACTACAGTGAAGGCCTAGTCCTAACTGCACATTTATAATGCAAAGTAATTCTATTTTTGTTCTGATAGTATATTCTAAGTCATTGATATTTCAGAGATCTTCTAGAAAGCCACAGGATCAAAAAAAAAAAAAAAGTGTCAACAGATCATTAATTTGTTTCTCTTCAGAGAATTGTTTTGGATGTCTCTTTACTGTTTGCTTAGGGCTGACTTGAACTAGATCTGGTGCCTTTCTTTTCTTTTTCTTGGAGGAAGCATCTGGATTTTGTTTACTAAGTTTAACTTTCTGTTGTGCACCAAAACACAGGGACCACAATGGACTTTACAGTTGCCCTACTTAGGACCTGACCACAATTTTTAAGTACATAATAAGAGACAGGGCAGTTAAAAGATGTACCTGTTTAATACAGCTACCAAAATGTGAAAGGTTTCTTACCTGTTTTGAGAAGCGTTAATCACGGTTTTCCCATTTTAGAGTAGTGGTGTTTGGGAAATCCAAGTACACTCACCTGCCAGCTGAAACCCAGTGGGATTTCTGTAAAATCAGAGTTCTGGTACCACTGGGTAGAACCTGAGCAGGTCTTTGAACAGAGGTTGTAGAAATCTGGGGTAAGGACCAGTAAATTGGTGTTCAACAAAACCTCATTGTCATCGCTGTCCTTGTAAGCATATTATCAGCAAAAGGAAAGTCAAACCAAGAACTGTATTTGACAGCATTTTGGGAATTAGTTTGTTCAACATATCAGTGCAGTAGTTTTAGTGAATGTCTCTAGCAAGTCTTGTACTTTTACAGAAGCAAAGGTCCAGTAATTTGAAGTCTTACCACATCTTCACTTTTATTATGACTACTCTAGGTGTTTTTATAATTTTTACTGACACTCAGTAACTGTATAATTGTGTACAACATGTTGATTAAATTGTTAGAGAATACATAGAAAGCACTGCAGCTAAAGCATATAAAGTTTAATATTGTTTACAGCATACTGTGGACAGTGCCAAATAAATGTTTAAACAAATACTTAACTACACTTCATGGTGTAACTAGTAACTGTACACAGATTCATAACGAATGACATCTCATGTGTAATCAATATTCTTAAATAAAATATTTATAATTGAACTTCTGCAGGGCTTTTAATTTTACACCTAGTACATGCCTGAACTGAACCACTTGTGCATATTAAATACATTCTGATGAAGATAAGCCTCCAAAAAACAGTGTATGTGTACAGCCTACTGTATTTTGCTGCCATGGCTTTTACACCAAGAACATTTTTCTCTTCCTTTTGATATTGCTGTGCCACACAGCATCAGCCAAAATTTAAAATCACAGAACCCCATCAGGAAAAGTTCAACATGAATAAATGGTAATTCAGGGTTAGCCTGTGCACTTAAATGGCAATGTTACTTACCTGCATCTGCTGATCCACCAAGAGACAGAGGTTTCAATTTGCATGAGGAAGAGACAGGGAAAAGAACACTCCAGATTATTGGTGAGGGTCAGTTTATTTGCCATTTTCAAATGAGGTAACAGCTAGAAGAGTGGTGGAAGGTGTTAACTTGCTTCTGACAATTCAAAAGATGTGTAACATGTTACAGTTTATATCTTTGGTTCTTTCTCAGGTTTAAATTCCTCCCTTCTACTGAGGTTTTGGAAAAGGAGGAGTCATACTAACACCATGGAGTAAGACCACTGTCCTTCATGGATACAAGTGCTGCTTTTACCATTCCAGTGGGAGTAAATATTGTACTGTGAGGGTGGTGAGACACTGGAACGGGGAGGTTGTGGATGCCCCAACCTTGGCAGTGTCCAAGGCCAGGTTGGATAAAGCCTTGAGTAATGTGGTCTAGTGAAAGGTGTCCCTGACCATAGCAGAGAGTGTTGGGGCGAGATGATCCTTAAGGTCCATTCCAACCCCTTCATATTCTACGATTAAATGGGGCAGCAATTTCTGTAGGGGCTCCTGAAATGCTGCCCCAGCCTGTAACTTACCCTTACAGCTGAGCTGCCAGTGCCTCTTGCAGCACACGCCCTTCTTTTGTCCAGTTACATTCACATCTTGGAGGATCTTGCCAGGAGACCACGTCCACCTTCCACAGCATTACACACCTCCCTCCCAGCTTCATCAGCACATAACTCAATTTCATGAACACATAAGCATGTCTGTGTCTGACATTCACCATCACTCATCGTGATACAAGACCAGTTTTAATCTCCAGAGGCTTCCCAACCAACCTGGAACTGGCTGAAAGAAACACTGAATTTGGAGTGAGGGTGCTCTGGCAGCTCCTGTATTTCACTTCAAGAGTTTTTCCCGTTTCACAACAACTGAAGGGGCCAGCTGAGGAGTTGGGGTCAGCACGACTAATGCAGCCTCCTAGTGCACGTTGCATGGAGGACAGTTCAGACTTGGAACTGCTGTGACAGCACAACACAGACATCACTGAACCCAACATGGAACAGACACTCCTCACACCATTAACAAGCTGCAAAGACATTTAATCCAGTGGATTATTCTTTACCACTGTGACTTTCTATGCTGGGTGCACTTACAGCAGGCTTTGCATAGGAAAAGGAGAGGGGTGTCAGTGTGGTAAACTAATTAAACCTCATGGAACAACAAGCACAATGAACATGAAACATGGAAAATCACTGGAAATGAGCTGCTGCATCACACAAGTTCTCCAAATATTTGAATAAACTTCTCTCTGTCTACAATCTGTCCATACTTAACTGTGAAATATAAAGTATCTGTGCTGTTGTACCGTTTGAACTGGAGAAGCAGCTCCTCCTTGCTGTCTCCAACTTCATCCAAAGTCACCACTGTCTCTATGGGACAGTAAATGTCATTCCGTCTTCCCCAGAACGTCAAGTGGGCCACTCTGACAGTTTGGCCAGTTTCACTCAAGTAGATGAATCCAATAATTCTTCTAAAAAAGTAACTCATACTATACAACATTGCACCAGCAAAGACTGCAAGGCCAGTTGCGTATAAGACGACATTCTGAGACACCTGGTTCTGCAGGTAGAGGTACCAGATGGGAGGCAGCGTGACCACGGTGGTGGCAGTCTGCAACAGCTTCAGTCTGGACACGACCCTGCAGTACTTTATTCCTGGAAACCTGTAGACCAGTTTGAACTCTTCTGTCCTCCCATCCACAGCCTTCTGCTGGACCGCAGCAGCAGTGGCTGAATGGGACAGACACACAGACTGTCTCCTGAGGTAATTGGTAACACCACTGACTTGCTGGTTTTGTGGCTGCAAACACTCCCACGTGCCAAAAGTCCAGGGTGGGCGAGCATCTCCCCTTCTCCATGACCTTGTCCAGAGCTCCTTCTGTAGACACCTCCCAAAAGCTGGTGCCACGCAGAGTTTAGTCCTGACTGTGCAGAGCCAAGCCTGTAAGGGAAGGTTCCCACAGGTCATCATTTGAGCCCTCTTTATAACTGAACCACAGTGAGCTTAGTCAGTCCCTCGGGCACCTACAGACAGCAAAGCACAAACCCCCGCTCAGAGTAACCACAAACCAGTGTTCTGTCACGGGTGTTCGTGCTCACATCCCCCCGGGGCAAAGGAAAACACTTTGGATAACACTTGGAAAACACTCTGGATAACACAGTTAACTGAGATAACCAGTTAGCTCACTGAACGGACCCCACGGCATCCCCTGCCTCTCTCGCAGTTTGGTTTTCACGTTCGAGCCACACCAAGGCACTACGGGCCGCTTCAAAGCAAAGAGGGCAGGGAACGCGGGATGACATCGGCGACTTGCTAAATAACCACTTAAGGTAATTTAAGGAAACGAGGGGGGAAAAAAAGCGGACTAGGCACCATAAAAGGGGAGAGGGGAGAGCGCTCTACACCGAGAGAGGGCCTGAAGAAAGAGGGACCAGACCCCGGGGACGTGCAGGATAACAGGAAGGAAGGCACCCTGGCGCTGCCCCCGCCGCGCTGTGACACGCGAGAGCCAGCGCCCCCGGGCAGGGACGCGTGGGGAGGGGAAAGGGAAGGGAGAAGAAAAGCAAAAGGGAAGGGGACCGAGAACGGAAAGGGAAAAGGGAAAAAGGAACGGGAACCGGCGCGTCCCCTGCAGCCCCCACTCCATCCCCTCCCACCCCGTCCCGTCGCTCACCGCCGCCATGTTCCCGCCGCGGCCGCACCGCCCCCTCAGCGCGCGGGGCCCGCCGGGAGGGAGGCCCGGCCCGGCCCAGCCATGGCCCCGCCGCCCGCAGCGCTCTGCCTGTTCGACGTGGACGGGACCCTCACGGCCCCGCGCCAGGCGAGTGCGGGACGGGGCTGCGGGGGGGGGGAAGGTGTGCTCCGGGCTGTCACCGCGGGGCTGTGGGCGCTGGGGGAGCGGGGGGGTGTCCCACAGCGTGCGAGCCCTCGGGCTGGGTGGGCGAACTTGCCGCGCCCCTTAAGGGGGAAGCAGAAACATCCTCCCCGTCCCTCGGAGCCGGTGCTGCCGGTCTGTGGTGGTGGTTGCGGAGCGGCTGAATGCCGCACGCAGGGCGGGCTGACGGGTGTGTTTGGGCGCAGAGGATCTCGCCGGAGATGGCGGCGTTCCTGCAGCGGCTGCGGCAGAAGGTCAAGGTTGGCGTGGTGGGAGGCTCCGACTTCGCCAAGATCCGCGAGCAGCTGGGCGAGGACGGTAAGGGCCGCGCTGGTGCAACCCCGAGCTACCCACGGGGAAGTCAGGAAGGTCAAACGCAGGTTAAACCCTGTCCGTTCCCCTCCTCCCTTGCTTTGAGCTGTTCTTCCCGGTGATGTCGCGTTGCACTCAGTCTATGAAGAGCTGTTTCCTGGCACGTGGAAACTGCAGCCTGTTTCATTTTACGCGTACCTCGGTATCATATTAAGGGATTGTGAACTGATGGTGAACTCCTGGCAGAACCTTGGGAGGGCTTTTTCCCGTTGCTGCTTTACGGTGGAATTGTGCGTGTGACACCCACGTGTGGCTGCTCAGCTGTGAGCACATCCCTGGATGGTCTGACTTTGTTCACTGCACCATAACCCGCATAACAAACCCCTTTTGTTATGAGGGTTATGGTGCAGCGATGGGCTCTCACTCTAGTCCTACAAGAGACGCTTCCTTTTCTGTGTCTTTAATGGTCTTTACTTAATTGATGCCACTGACAGCCTCCTGTCATGCTCAGATAACTCATAATTTGTTTGGCTTCCAAGTGGTCTCCACTAAGGCATATCATTCTGTGGTGTTGTAGTAAGAGTCCCACAACTGCCAGACATCTGCTGAAGATTAGTAACACTGAGGAAACAAACGTAAAAGAGCAGTATTTGACTTGCTCTCTCACCAGGCTGTGTGCCACGTTTTTGCAGTATTTGAGGTGTTCAGTCACTTCCTTACACTTAATGCCAAGAGGCATATTTTCAGGAGAGGAAGAGCCTTTGAGCAAAAACACAGGTAACTCAACTGAGTGACTTTTTGTGATTTGAGGTGTGCATTAATCTTAGTGAGGAATGGGAGTGGCTTTGATCCTGTGCTTAATGTTATGCTGCTGAATCTTTCATGCTTTAGGATCTAATGTTTGCTGTATTTTAACCTGTTCAGCATGTAAGGCAAACTGCATTAAACATGTGGGGAAAAAGGATGTGTTACTGTCTTTCTGTTTGCTTACAGTGGTTGAAAAATATGACTACGTGTTTCCAGAAAATGGTCTTGTAGCGTACAAGGATGGGAAATTCCTGAGCAAGCAGGTAAGTGTGAAATTTCCAGTAGTGAGAAAGAGAAATTTTCTACAGATTTTCTAAAGACTTTGCTTTGTTGCTGCAGTGCAGTCCTCTGTAATCACCCTTCTAACAAAGGCCAAAATTGCTGCTGTTTTCATGTGTTACCCCTGTTAATGGATCATTCATTTGGCCTGTAATGTTCAACTTAAGTAATGGAGAGTAAACATTTAAAAAGAGATACTGGCTGAAATTGCTCCCGTGAGCAGTGGTTCCAGGTTACTGCAGGAACAAGCTCCATTTCTTCATGCTTGGCTACAGCAGATATTAACTGCAGTTTTTGTTTAGGGCTGCTGCCTCTGGCCCACAGTTTCCTTCTAAACTCGGTGCAATAAGGGAGCATATTAAAGGATGTATAACAGTTTGGTGTTATGGGTAAAAAACAAAAAAAGTAAACAAAAATTAAAATGAGAGCCTTCAGTTAATACTCTGTGTGCATCAGCTGAGAGTTACTGATTGAAGGCGTGTTTGTTCCTCTGTGGTATTAACCATGCCTGATTATCCAATGTCTGTGTTTTCCATATGACTTGCTTTTAGAATCTCAAATTCTGGACCCTTGGTTGAATGGTGTTTATTTTGTTAGAGCATTCAGGGTCACCTGGGTGAGGACATTCTTCAGGATCTAATCAACTACTGCCTGAGTTACATTGCAAAGATTAAACTGCCAAAGAAGAGGTATGTGCACACACACCTCTCACATGTTCTCCTTGTTACAGTGTTGGACATCAGGAGGTAAAGCTCAGCTCAGGCTGCTCAGGAAAAAAAAAAAAAAAAAGAGTAATTTGTGGTTTTATGAACACTCTGTATGTGAAACAGCTCAATCCATGCATACAAAGACAAGCTCCCAGCTGGAGCATAGGATTTGAAAGACTGAATCAGTATTTATATTTAAGAGGGAAGGAGACCCAGTTTTGAAGTAGGAATGTTTCCTTGTTGTGTTTGGAATTCAGCAGCATAATGTTTTCTAGAAATGAGAGGTGTGCAGCAAGACCAGCTCTGTGTGACACGTGAGGTGCAGCTGTTTCAGGCACTAAAATGCACCATGTGAGGCAGGGTAGGACATTGCCCAGATTGATGTGAATTTTGCAGCTTCACCCCAAAACAGCCAGCTTGGCCTGTCTGGCTCTGAGGATTGGGTGGATGGGATGCTCCAGTCACACTTTTAAAACCAAGTCGTACTTTTAGAAGTCAGAAAGGATGATGTTGAGGTTGCCAGATTGAAATAAAACTCAGAAACACTCCTTGGTGCCAGAGGTATTGGTTCCTACATGTGTGGGGGTTTATGCATACAATGAGAGGCTGAAGTAGGCAGCTGATTCCCACTGTCTTCGGAATTAAACAGAAGTTCATTATGATATTTAGTGTTTTGATCCATTTTTTCATCTGTTTCCTGTCTGGTTAATCAATCCTTTTCCAGAGGCACTTTCATTGAGTTCCGGAATGGGATGTTAAATGTGTCCCCCATTGGAAGGAGCTGCAGCCAGGAAGAACGACTTGAGTTCTATGAACTCGATAAAGTGAGTTACAGCTCTTGAAAATACCCAGCTCTCCTGGAGGAGGCAGTTACAGCCAGGTTATGATTTTTAAAAAACTTCTATACTTTCTGCAATTTTTTTCATTGTAATCCATGTACTTTAATGAACTTCTTCATTCAGACCTCAGCAGATAGGCAATAGTTTTTTTGTGGCAATGGTTAACAATGATTACTTGCAGAAGGGGTGGGTTTGACTCATGTTTCTTTTAATCCAGAACACCCAACCTCTACACATGGGGTAAAAATCCTGTCCTAGATAAACCATTCCTTGGTGAGCTCTTTAATGTACCAGCCTGCATCTGTTCAAGTCAATAAAACTATTCCTTTACTTGTCCTCTGCAAAGCCTTTTAAGGCAGAATTTTAACAGCTGAGATCAAACTATTCACTATTTATCCTCCTTTGTACACAGCTAAATGTGCAAGGCTGAAATGAATCTGAGCCACCAGAGTTCTGTTTCCTGCTACACCACAACAACTGTTTCTTACCCAATTAAAAACTGAAACCTAATTCCTCAAAAGCAGACTTTACCTGTGACTCAGTTAATGGATGCTGAAGGATATCTAAGATACCTAAGCATTCTGAAAAAACCCTTTTTGGAGTACACCACCTCAGAAGAGTAGTAGCAGTTTTTTAGACTCTTCCTTCCTATGCCTCAGTCTTCCCATTTGTAAGACTGAATATTTTTGGGAGCTGAAGCACACTTCTGTAGTGTTCTAAGATTTTCAGATGGAAAAGCAAACATCTCAGCATGTACGTGAAGTTTTGCTCTTTTTTTTTTTACAAGTTGGTAACAGATTAAAGTGGGAAGATTCTCAGCATGCTGCCAGTAGTAATAAAATGTGGCTGTATCACAGTCCTAGTACTCAGACCTCTGGATATATTTGAGATGTTTTGGGGGGTTATCTTTTCACTGATGAACTAACACAGCATGTCACTGATGTGTGGTTTTGTTTTGGTTTTCCTTAACAGAAGGAGCATATAAGAGAGAAATTTGTGGCTGATTTACGAAGAGAATTTGCAGGCAAAGGCCTCACATTTTCTATAGGTAATACTTTAAAAGAATGTAATTTAAAACATCAGTTAATTTTAAATTTCATTACAGTCATATTGCCTTGTGGCTGTGACATATCCCATCTCATCTGTGTGACAGTTCTCACTGGGGGTGGTTGCAGGCAAGACTGAGCATCTTTTTCCTCTTAAGCTTTCACTGGGACATTTTAATTGTGATCCATCAACAAAGAGAACTTCATTTCTTGTCATCAGTTCATTGTCCTGTAATGTCAGTTGTATGACTGATTCTGCTCATTTTGAAACATATTATATGCTTCTATTTAGTCAGAGTTGTTTCTGTGAATCAGTTTTGATCAGAACTATTCCATCAGTGCTGTTCAGCTGCCCTTGGTTCTTCAGTTCTGACTGCATTGTGTGGGAGGAATGAAAGAATCCAAAAGCAAGTGCAAGCTTAAAGAGAAAAATTATAATAGAGGAGGAATTAATATTCCTTCTTTTTTTCCCTTCTCTCCTAATATATTACCACATTCCTGCCCTGTGTTATTTTTCAGAAAGTCTGGTTGCCATTAGTGCTGTGGTATTGAAGCACTGAGGCAGAAATGAACTGAAATGCAGCTCTCCTGAAGCATGTTGTAAATACCTTTAGGACACCTGCTTCAACTGGGGATCATGCTTTTAGGTATTGGGGAAGTCCAAGGATTCAGATTGGAACAGTTGTTGTCCTCTTAGGGTGTGTTTTAAAAGGCTGATTTCCTCCTTTTTCTATTCTGAAAGCCTTAGAAAGTCTTTTGCCTAAGACTTTATGGCTGTACATACACCTATGACTGCTTTCATTTGTGCCCTTTCTTTCTAAAAAAGTTCGCTTTTTGGGAACACACTAAGACTTTCACATTTGTTTAAGGGATAAATAATCATCTCTAAATCACAACTGTAATAACTGCTACCCTATAAAACACTTTCTGTACTTACAAGACTTAACTCCAGGGTCTCACAATATTTCTGTGGCTTCTGCAAAGCTCCCCCTGCCTAAAATCTTACCCAGTTTAGGATTTCTTCACTTCCTCTCCCCTCAGAAATGTCTTCTTACAGTCAAACCAGTCTGCTTGGTTCATCTCTATCCTAGGAGGGCAGATAAGCATTGATGTGTTCCCCGATGGCTGGGACAAGAGGTACTGCTTAGGAATTGTTGCCAATGATGGATACAAGACGATTTATTTCTTCGGAGACAAGACTATGCCAGTGAGTAATTTGTTGTATTAATTTCAGAGCTGTTTTAAAGCACAAGTACTGTAGGTTCTAACCTTTCAACCTTATTCCTGATGAGAGCTGAAGTCAGGGTGCAAACACACATCCATGTTTAACTGGCTGTGCTGCTGGGGGAGAGCTGGGAGGTTTTCCTCCTGTTTCCTGAAATGAACACAGGGTTCCTGACAAACTTAATAGAAATTGTTTGTAAATGGAACTTCTGTAATTCTGTTAAAAACCTAGGTGACATGACTATGTGATGAACTGATCATCCTGTGTGGCTAGTGTAGATTGATGCTTCCTGTTGGCTGGTGTTTATTAAACATATGTATTTCCCATTTAGTTTAATGCTGTTCCTTTGCTCACCACTGTCTCCACGTTGAGGAACTGAACATAGTCCCTGTCCCCCATCATTGGGCTCAGCAGGGCAATTCAGAGGCTTTTAAAAATCCTGAGCGGAGACCTGACAAGAGCCTGTGAGGGCAATGACAAGCACAAGGACTTGGATGAAATGAAAGCTGTCTGAATATGGCCAAGGGACAGGGTCAGGCTAAGTTTTACAAGAAAAGGCTTAGTTTTGTAAGAACTGAGAGTAATAAAACTCAAGTTACAAAGAACTTTACAGATTTATAAACTTGCAAAGGTGAAATTTTAAAAGAAAAAGGCAATGAAATTAAAAGGTTTTTCTCCCTTGACATCAGCTGCAAAAGTAATCACCTGTCCCTCTGGCATGGAGTTCATGGACAGTTCATTTTAAACCCTGTAAGTGGCAGTGCAGCATTTTCAGAGTGTTGAATTACCAAGAGCTGCTGCTGACCCCGTGCAAGCAGAGTAGCAAACAGAAACTTGGGAACTGCTTCCTGCAGTGCTCCCTGGGGCTCTCAGGTATCTCTGCTCATGCAGGTGGCACTGCTGTTGTTCCCTGAGCCTTGTCAGGTGTCCTGTCACTGCAGCTCCTTGGAAAAAGGCCCTTCTTTCCTTTATATGTCCATTCTGTGTGATTATATGTTAAATAAAACTAAATCCTCTTCTGCTTCCAGGGAGGGAATGACTATGAAATTTTCACAGACTCCAGAACAGAAGGCCACAGCGTCACATCCCCCGAGGATACCAGAAGAATCTGTGAAGAGCTATTTTTTAAATAGAAGACTTTTAGAATTCACACTTACAGGACGGTTAAAACAGCTTAATAACTTGAAACATCCTCTTCATTCTGTATTGTGTTTTGTAACTGTGTAATGAATAGGAGGTGCTTTGCAGGTCAGTCATTACTGAAGGGAAGTGTTTTAATTGAAGAGCCCTTGCTGATCAGGGGAACACAGCAGAGCACATTTAGCACCATCCTTTCAAGTACTGTTTTCTTTGTGTTTGGGTTGGTTTATATTTTTTATTGGTTTTTTAAGTCATCAGTAAACATCCTTAACTAATTAATTACATTTTAGGGGGCAAGGGCGGGCATAATCTGCCTCTAGTTGATTTATGGCCTTGAAATTTGCCTGCAAGGCTTTATCCCTAGTTTTTTTATTTTGAGGCTGCTTTTTAAAAGATGAGCATTTTATAAGAGTTATTTTTTTAAATACTGCCTTATGCTACAAAATCATGAATTATAAGACATTTGGGACTTTCTTGACTAAAACTGGAAGATGAGTAGAAGAGAAAGGATTTATTTCTTCATGGAGCTGGGAAGATTGAACTGAGCCATAAGTTCCTGATCCCATGTGTGTTCCAGTGTGTGGTCAGAAGGTGCTTCAAGTCTCCCACCCCTGGGAAGGCTGGACCAGCTGGGGCCACAGTTACCTCCTCAGAATGGTTGTGTTGTCAAGGTACAGTCGGATCATGGTACCTACAATCTGTAGACTATTTAAAAAATAAAAAAAAAATGGTAAAGATAATCAAAGTAACTTCATCACAGTAACAAAATATACTTCTGTCACTTTCTGATAGTTTTCTGATTTTCTTTTTAAGAAAGAAATTAAGGTTAAATGAGATTTTAGCACTAAGATAATGACCTGAATTATGTTTCTCTTAAAATTCAAGTCAACATCTGACAATCCATGTAACTGTTAATATTACCTTTCTCATCTGGCATTATAAAAGTAATCTTGTGTATGAACAATTTAGTAAAGGAGAATCAAATCTCATAATGAAAAATTACTGTTTCACTTTGTCATTTTGGCAAATAAAATACTTTAAGCAGAACCTGTTGCACACTGCCTCTCTGTACAAAGAAATGAGGGACTTGAATCTTTCCAAGTTTATGTGATACCTGCTCAGTAAAAAAATGGGAGAATACAATCTTTGTGTACCAACCCAAATCCCCAGAAGAGCTTACAAAAAAAGGAGAGGGAACTGTAATGCACCTCATGCATCAAAACTGTCTTATCTTCCCAAGTTTTGTTATATAACATTTTTAAATATCAGACACCTGCATTCTCCTCTCCTTGATCATCTTCACCACCACCAACCCAGGGAGGAGACTGAAGACATGTTAAAGCATTATAATGGTCGCATTTATTGTAAAGAAAGCAGTGTGTGATACTCCAACAAGCTGGACAGTGATAAATCCACCACTACCGAGTCTTATGGGTCATAAAAAACAAAGCCAAGCTCCAAACCCCACTAAGACTGGTTTTTATCATACACCACAGTGTGATACTGGTACAGCCAAGGTAAAACAAGCCAGCACAGCAGTTACTGACCTCAGCCCCTCAGAACAGATCCTGTCCTGGGAGTCCTGGGACACGTCCTGACAGCAAGCACCTGCTGGTAGAACTGCAAATAGGCAACTGGAGTTACACTGGCTCACACAACTGACAAGAGCTGTGCCATCTTTTTTATTTTAATTTTTTTATCATTATATTTGCAAAGTCAATAAAAATCCACTGTTAGGAACATGATAAAGAAAAATGCTGCATTTGAAAAAAAAAATATGTGGAAGGTAAATAGGAACAGAACTAAGTTAGCTGCACTACAACTACATGAAGGGAAGAGTAACTCTATCACGTCCTACCGAGCAAGAGTTTCAGGGAAGCAGATGTAGAATGTACTTCACCAAGACAGCTGAGCCTGTTGAGTAACTCACACAGTATTTTACACAGGGTCACCTGAGCAGCACAGCCTGCTGTTCAGAAGGGCAGTTATCCTGCCTGCCTGGTGGCACACCGTGGCAGGGAGGCAACTGTCTGCCACCCAGAAGGTCATCTTCAGCCTTGTCTAAATTCAGACACAGTCAGAGGCCATGAATTATCCACTATTCTACAGCTTTCTACCCCTTACCTTGAACCATATTTTTTTAATTTGGGTTGGAACTTTGTTTATTTAATACTGGCCTATAAAATTTGTTGCTAATCAACCATCAAGGCACCTAAGTAAATTCACAAGCAATCCTGACTTTACAACCCCAATACAGTTTCCACACTCGTGCAGCCACAGCATGTGCAGATGGTGCACTGGAAACCACTAGATGGAGAATTTCCACCTCGTGGCTGCTGCTGTTTGTGAACTTCCTTCCACGAGGACAACAAATTGCAGCAATGAACACCTCTCTCTCTCAAGGCAAGGCATTCAGGCACTGTTATCAGCAATAAATGTACTGTAACCCTACAGAAGAGCAGTCCAAGGGAACAGAGGGCTCACACAATGCCAGGGTCTTGGAGTTATGGCCATCTGCACTAGAACAGCCCTCCTTAAACCTCTCCCCACTCCCCCTGGGCATTTCCTGGAATCAGTTCACAAGATGAAAGGAAAAAAACAAACCTACCCTCCTCCACCAAGCACACAAACTAGGTCTCTTTAAATACATTTTTTGTAAACACATTATGCTAGATTTTTTTCATTAGCATTCGAATTGCCTTTTTTTTTTTTTTTTTTTTTTTTTTAAATCAGGCCAGCTATAAAAAACAGTAATTCTGGCCTGCTTCTGCTTCATTGACAACACAGTGTTTCCTCCTGCAACAACACGTAGAATATTCTCAGGACAGGTCCCCTGCAGGCAGCTGTTGAGCAGTGACCACACAGGTCAACCCGGGGACACCTCAGGGGCTGACGACGTGCCCCGACCAGGTCTCGTGCTTGGTGCCAGGGGCGAGGTGGGTGATCACCACCTCCACTGCCTGCAGCTTCTCGTTCTTCGGGGGGATGGTGCACATCTTGTAGGTGACCTCGTCGCCCGCCACAGGAACGTACTCGCCCTCGATGCTGCGGAGGGGAAGCTCCAGTTAGTCACAAATCACATAAACACTCCCTTGCAGCTCCTTTAAATTTTTATCATAATAATTAGCTTGGATGCTCAAGACACTTCAGGTTTGTTTGGTTTTGTTTACAGAGCCTGTGGTCAACCAAAGTCTGACTGGTTGTCTTGCAGCAAAATCCTATGGGAATACTATAAACGCCACCATCACCCTAAAAAAACCCAACTAAAAAAAAACTCAAAATGAAAACAGAAAAACACGATAATCCCCACAGTAATATACCTTAAAGAATATTCAAGCTTGAGCAGCATTGCTGTGAACTCTGCACCAGCATCTCACCTGCCGGCAGCACTAGAGGGCAGGGCTGACGCTCTTTGGTATTTACTTCGGGGATATGGGTTTTAAACTACACAAAGTTGATCCTTTTCTTCTTTCCCTCCTTCTCATTTAAGTTTTTGAAGTTTGGGTTTGGGTTTCTTCCTGTTTTCTTTTTAAAAAAGGATTGTGCCACGTAATGAAAAGAGTTTACCTTTAGATTACTCCACGGTAACAGTTTGTGATATGAAAAAAAAGAGCCCAAGTGAGCTGTGGTGTCAAATATTTCAAAATTACTTGCTGTGAGAAAAGAGAGTTGTGCCACCCTGATGTGTTGCACTGCAGAAAAACTCATCCAGCGCTTGGGAAGATTTCCAGGAGTCGCTCACCCCTACCTATCCCCCACCAATGTGATGCTGTGGGATGCTGGAGGACTTTCACTTTGCAGCTGTAACTGCATGTGAGTCCTTATCCTGAATCCGTGGGAGATGGCCAAAGGGCTGTCACCTTCTGTTCAGAACAATGTGCTGATGACACAGAGACTGGCAAAGTGCAACAGCCTTCCTCACCCACACCCCTGTGCTCGACATCAGAGCTTTGTAATAAAAATCCCAGCATGTGCCAGTGAAGACCAGCAGAGATTCTTCCATCCTGCATTGCCACGAGGCTCTGACAGTACAAAAAATGCTCCTTCACCTTTCTTTAAATACAGTTACACAAGCCCATATCCACCTTCCCCTCCTCTGACAGCCTAGGCTCTAGACCTCTTACTGTTTGAGGGGTTTCAGTGTCTCTCAGCAGCATCTGTATTTGGGAACAGATAAAACACTAATAACAAATTCTACCTGACTGGTGTGACTTGCTTGTGAATGCCTATTAACTGGAGGTAAGATTTGGGTTCAGGAAAGGAAAAAAAAAAAAAATCATCCAGGACAGAAGTTTTGTCACACACTGCTGGGTTTGTTATTTGCCTTCACTGGGAGCACGGCCACACCACTCAGGAATTTTACCCCACCTGTTTGTGTTTGTATTAATAGCAGAGATCTCAGATTTTAGCAGTGCCCTTCATATCCACTCTCATCTTGTGACCCATTATTGTTTGGGCTTTTCTATTGCAGGAAAGACTGGCAGGACTGATAGGAGGTAAATTCACTGGCCCTTACTGCCAGTTGTGACTTCACATCAGAGTCTGCTTCTCCCCTCTGCTCTGCAGAACTTCTTCAGCTTCATCTCCTGCACTGCCTCTCCCCAGCCCTTCCCCCTTTGAGGGTTGCCTCAGCTTCTGCTCCCTTCTGAAGCCTTGTGAGTGCTGCTCAAGGAGCTGGTGCCAGGCTGTGCTGGAGCAGAAGCAGCCAGGGACAGGATGGGTAACCAGGCATGTACAAGGAAAGCTAAAACTGACCCATAAATCAGAATTTCTCCCATGGGAAATTCAAAAGAAAGAAGTCATTGTTTGCTTACTGATTGTATCAACATGATATTGAAAACGCTCCTGTATCTGAATATGGATCTAAATGCAGTTAAATGCAGTCCCAAGGCCTGTGGCTTGAAATGCATGTCCTTCAGACTTTACTTCCCTCTACCCCAGAGCTGCCTGTGACTACAGGAATGAGACCCAAAAGGGCATGTCCTAAGCCGAACCCTTCTGACAAGTGCCTGGAAAAACAGGAGTAAATTGAAGGCAGAAAAAATATTTACAGAAAAATCAAGATAAAGCCTCCTTCATCAGACCTGACAGCCCTTTCCAACCCACGCAGGCTGATCCAGCTGACCTTTATTAACTTCCAAAATCTCCAGGCCAACCTGTCAGCCCAGTCCTGTATCACACCACATTCAAGCTCCCACATCTGACTCCTGCTGTGCTGTCCTCTCCAGTTACTGCCTTCATTTATACCCCACCTAGCCCATCTCCAACAGGTTTAAGCTTCTTTCAGGTGCAAAGGGACTGCACATCCAAATTTTACTTTCCTTTCAGAAGCAAAGATTAACTACCTTTTCTACTGCCAAAGGAATTTGCCACCAAATACCCTGCAGTTTACCCTGACTTTGAAACAGTGGACTCCAAGCAAGGACGTACTTGCTGGCGCTGCATCAGAGCCTGACAAAGGGGTGTGAAGTCCCAAGAAGAGACACAGGAGAGGGTCAAACCACGAGTGAAAATGGGAATGGCACATATAAATCACATCACCTTTCCTACTTGAACCCCTTGAATGATCCCTTGTTGCCAAAAATATTGTTGCTATAGAGTTAAAACCACATTGCCATGAGCAGTAACTCTCATCACAGCCCATGCAACCCCAGCTGAGCAAGGCAAACACCTTTCCATGGGAGGCAACACAGCACAGGCATTTTCTCTGCACAAGGGAACACGGGGAGAGCAAAACACAGCGAGCAGAAACATTCCCAGATGGATGTAATGGACACAGACAACGAGAGCTGAAGCAGAAAGGCTACACTGGCTCAGGTACAGCTGAGCCACTGCAACAAGCCCCAGTGATACACATTTGTTCAGGGGTCCTCAAGCACCAGGACCAGCTGCAGACAGTGTTCCAAGGAGCACAGGTACAGCAGATACGTGGGGCAGCAACTAAAGCAGCATCTCCTCTTGGAGTTACAGCCACTCCAGAGCCTTTGAGTGCTGCACAGGGCAGGAACACACACAGCGAGCAATGAGATCACCACAGTGCAGGCATC